CGTGGCGAAGCGCCCCGGCAGCTGGAGCCTCCTCTGGCTGGCCAGCTTCGCGCTCGCGCTGGCCGTGCTCCTCTACGTGCTCGCCCGCGGCGGCGGCGCGGCCCAAGGCAGGGCACCGGTGCACGCCCTCCAGACATGTCTGCGTCGCAACGAGTGATAGTTTTTTTAGTCGTGCACGCCCCTCTACAGGAGGAAGATTCGAAGATAGTCAAACATAGTATGGCGATGATTATTGAAAGTATGTTTGAATGTGGTTTGGAATATGTTTGGAGTAGTTTTCAGCCATAGGGGGATATGCCCGATCGAATGGTAGTTTTCTGATTCGTTGTTCCGCCGATCTGCGCGGGCCCTCGCCCCCCCTCCCCCCCCCTCGTGGAGTAGATCTTGGCTGTTTGTGGCGCCTGTTTCGAGCAGGTGGAGTCTAGGGGAATAAAAAGTGACATGAACATAAAAACTCGGAGGTCCGCGCGGATTTCTCGGATCGGCGCTGGATCCCATCCCTGGCGCGCGGAGCGCGCCAGGGGCGGCGCCGGAGGCGCCGCCGGGGAGCCCCAGCGCCGATCCGAGAAATCCGCGCGGAACTCCGAGTTTTTATGTTTGTGCCACTTTTTGTTCCCCTAGAGTCTCCCTCATAGGACGCACGGTTCCAAGCAGTCGCATTGAGCAGAGGTCTGGAGCCAGACCCCACACCTTCCCCCCCCATTTCCCCGCCCAATGTCGAAACACGCCGAATGAAAAACGTTCACCATGTTTGCGTCGCAAGCAAGATCACGACGGGAGATAATTTGCCACTTTCGGCCCCGGGGGGCCCTCGCTGGGCTCCAGGACCGTCAATCAAAAACGCACAGGATGAGCAGGTTGCCCGGGGAAGGGGGTCGGGACTTCTGGGGACCGCGCAAGGAGCAAAGCAAGGCATCGGAGGATTCGGTAGCAGGTCTTGGGATCCACGTATGCCCTTCAATGCAGGATTTAGCGTCGACTGGCGTCGATTAGCGTCTAGTAATCGATGAGACAGCGCCAATGCACCGTCGATCTAGCATCGATCAACGTCGATCCGCAAGAGCCAACCAGATGGTACGGGAGGCTCACATGATCACCAGGCGCGTTCCACTGCTTCGCAAAGTGCCTACTCGCAAAGCGTCCGAACAGAAGCATATCTTTTTCTATATGTGAGGTATCGTAGATCCCCCGCGGCGGATCCAGGCCATTTGCGAGCAGCTACTCTTGCGAGTAGTGGAGCGCGCTTTTCCACATGAGTTGCCGCAGAAGCGTGTCTGGGCTTGTGATGTTCCAACGTATTTTAGCTTCGAGCGCCAGAAAGAATTCCGAGCACCGAGAAAATACCCGCAATTGGAGGGCTTCCACGTGTCGGGCCCTGGGAGGCGATGCTCCATCGACGCTGCTGCGATACTCTTCGGGGTGCTCGAAATCATCTCTGGGCCGTGGCCCTTATGCACGATGGGAGCAGCACGAGTCTGGGCTTAAGTCGGGCCTGTCCCTCGACAGGAGGAATATTCAAAAGTAGTCAAACAAATCGTCTGGGGAGGATCTTTCTGCTATTGTTGACCATTTTGTTTTGAAGCATTTGTTGATTCTTGATTTTTTTCGTCCACAATCCGCCTGTCGGGGGACGTGCCCGACCGAAGTCTGGGCCCGCCCCGCCGTCGGCCAGTGGTTGTGGAGGACGATCAGTGGAGAGGAAGCATGTTGCCAAATAATTTCCAGATGTCTAAAACTCGGAGGTGGACAGACCTCCTACCCTGACACGTCGATTAAGGAATTGGCCCTTTTCGGTTCGCGAGAGGGCGTCGCGGCCGTCATTTTGCGGGTCCAGGTCCGTCGGTGTCGGTCTCAGGCCGTTTTCACTAAGGGAAGGTTTACTCAAGGGAGGTGTGTCCACCGCCGAAAGACATGTGTTGAAATGTGTTAGACATGTAAAACATCATGTTTCAAGCATGCTCAGGGCAGTGTTCCGACCTTGTAAACACATTTGAAGTCCGATGATAGGACTGTTAGGGTGTCCATTGTCGTGGCATCCATAGGGGGCCACATGTCCAAGATTTCCGAGGGGGAGGGCGGGGTTCACTTCGCTCGGGAGCTCCCGAGCGAAGTGAACCCCACCCTCCCCTCAAAAATCGTGTGGGGTAGGGGTAGGGTTCACGTGTGGCCCCCTAATCCACAAGCCAACGGGGTGGGGGGGGGCCAGGAGCCCACGGGCCCGGGCCCTCGAGGGAGGATCGCCAGAAGGGCCTCTGCGCCTCCGGCGCCCACTTCGAGCCTCGCCCTCCGGCGGGGGGCGGCGGCTCGGTGCGGTCGACGTCGTGGGGTTACTTATGAGGAAAATCTTGGAGGCCTCGCGCGGCGCGTAATAGTTGTATTATCTATTCCATATCTGGTCCACACGTTAGCTCCGTAAGCTACGGGTCGACGCTCGCGCGGCGATGCTCTGGCGTCAGTCCGACGTAAACCCGACGTTGTTCCGACGTAGTCCGACGTGAACCCGACGTAAATCCGACGTGGGTCCGACTTCATTCGGGTCTCAAGTTGCCGCGCGAGGCCTCCAGGATTTTTCTCGTAAGGTTACGTCGGGCGTGTCCCTCTACACCTCTGCAGGAGGAGTGCTCAAGAATAGTCAAGGACACAGTCTGGGGACGAGTTTGCGATCATCCTGGACTCTTCTTGACTTTTGTTGATGATAGTTATAGTTCAGGTCTCTTCCAGAATCGGCCTGTAGGAGGACGTGCCCGACCTAAACATGGGCACGGAAGACTGTCGGGCGGCTAGGGAGTCGGGGCTCAGGAGGCGGGGGGTCTATGCCAACGGGGGTCAGTCAGAGCGCCAGATCTTGCAGGATCTTGAAGGATTTTGCAGGGCCAGGGGTGCACTGACCCGGATTTGGGGGAGGTGCAGGGTCCTGCAGGATCCTTCAGGATCTTGCAGGATCTTGCATGGCCTGACTGACCCGAATTTGGATTGAGCCAGGTCAGTAGATTTCCGGAAGGGGGGGGGGTACGAGATATGCTGCGTGCAGCTGGTTGCCGTCCCGCAGCCAGGCCCATTTCTCGATGCACGGGCGCCTTCGGGCGCCAGGAGGCGTCAGGAAAACCAGCCACGTGAGCTGAGTCTCTACCCTGCCCTGTGCTATCCTGCCACTTCGCGCCCCCCCCCCCCCGAGACTGGAGACGAAGACTGACAGCAGTCCCTGTCGATTTCGGAAGGGGCTCGCTGTCGGTGTCGCCACGGACGTTGCCCATTCTAAACGGAAGGTCGCTTGGCCAACAGCGGCTGCTTTCGGTTTGGGACAGCACTCGTTTTCATCGCGCCCATTCATGAGGTAATTACCCACTTAAGGGAGCCCAAGTGGCAGCTGCGGGTCTGCAGGCGGAGCGCCAGCGGAAGGCGGCGGAGGTAGAAGCGAGACCTCAACAGTTTTGGGGTCCAGGCCTCCTTGGGTCGGCCACCCAGTTTGAACAAGGGTTTTGTATCTGACAGCTCCGGTGTTGGTGGGGCACGGGGTACCCTCGTGTGCTTTCGTGTCAGGGCCCTCCACCTCTGAACGTTTTTGTTCGTTCCAGGCATCTGCATGCGGCCTTGGACCTTCGGAGAAGGGGCTCGCAGTTTCGGCCCACGTTTTTGCCTCCGCGCTTTCGGAGTTCCGCCGGGAGTCCTGGGGTCGGTGCTGGACCCCCCTGGTGGCGCCTTGAGTGCCGTCCCGGGCGCGGTCCGAACGCCAGGGGGTGGGTCCAGCGCCGACCCGAGCGGAAGTCTTGCTCATGTCGTGTTCTGTTCGCCTTCGCAGAGGCTCGGACCCTTGGGAATCTTCTGCCGAAGGCCTGTAGGAGGAGGAGGAGGAGGAGGAGGAGGAGGAGGAGGGAGGAGGAGGAGGGAGGAGGAGGAGGAGGATGAGGAGTGAGGAGAAGGAGAGGAGGAGGAGACGGAGAGGAGGAGGAGGGAGGAGAGGAGGAGGAGGAGGAGGAGGGAGAGGAGGAGCCGCAGCTGCCAGCAGCAGCAGAGGAGGAGGAGGAGGAGGACTAGCAGATGAGGACATGCGAAAGCAGAAGGAGGAGGAGGAGAGCCGGAGAGGAGAGGAGCAGAGGAGCAGAGGAGCAAGGAGCAGGAGCAGGAGGAGGAGGTAAGAGGAAGGAGGAGGAGGAGGAGGAGGAGGAGAGGAGTGAGGAGGAGGAGGAGGGAGAGAGAGGGAGGAGGAGGAGGAGGAGGAGGAGGAGTGAGGAGGAGGAGGAGGAGGAGGAGGAGGTTGAGGAGGAGTGAGGAGGAGGAGGAGGAGGAGGAGGCCTTGCTCACTCGATCGGCCCAGCGCGGCGGGCATGGTTGCCCAGCAGCGGCTCCCTTCTGGGGGCAGTGCCCAGAGAAAGAGAGAGAGAGAGAGAGAGCGGCCAGAAGAGCACCGCCCTCCGCGCGGGGACGGCGCAGGAGAGTCGACAGGAGAGCGCCGCTCCTCCCGCATCGATCCGAGCCTGGGCTCTCGGCGTCGCCCCAACATACGAGTACTACCTGTGCGTCGCTCGGAGGTGGACAGACCTCCTACCCTGACACGTCGATAGAGGAGTCGGCCGTTTTCGGTTCGCGAGGGGGCCTCGCGGCCGTCAGTTTTCCGGGTGCAGGTCCGTCGGTTTCGGTCCCAGGCCGTTTTCGCTAGGGGGAGGTTTACTAAAGGGAGGTGTGTCCACAGCCGAGTCGCCCACCCCAGGGGGGCGATGCGCGCGCCGAGAAATCTTCTGGTTCAAGCTCCGTGGCGGGCGCTTTCCGGCCCTGCCGCTCGGGAAACGGCAGCGACTGCAAGCTGTTTGTATGTTTGGTCCGGGTCGTACACGTGCCTCCAAGGATTGGGGGTGGACAGAACCCCCACCCTGACACGTCGATCAGTGAATTGCCCGTTTTCGGTTCTCGAGTGGGCGCCGCGGCCGTCATTTTCCAGGCTTGCGCCCGCCAGGTTTTGGCCCGAGGCCGCTTTCACTAAGCCACGTTTTACAAAAGGGGGTTCTTCTGTCCATCCCCGACAGGAGAACGCATAGTTCAAAGAAGAAACATCGGCGTAAACATAAACTTGAGGCGCTCCGCAAAGATTCCTTGAATCTGCGCTGGGCCCTCCTCATCCTTCTTCTTCTGCTTCTTCTTATTCCCGCAATCAGAGCTTGCCTCTGTAGGGGTCCTAGCGGATTCATATGGTTCGGTTTGCCGCCGATTTTCGCCGCACGCCCGGGTGCCCGGGGGTGCCCGGGGGTGCCCGGGGGTGCCCGGGGGTGCCCGGGTGCCCGGGTGCCCGGGTGCCTGGGCGTGCCCAGGTGTGCCCGGGTGCCCGCCCGGTAGCCCTAGAGTTTTATAATCCTAGAGCCTGATAACCTTACAGCCCTATAGCCCTCTAGCCCTATAGCCCCAATAGTGTTATAACCCTACAGCCCTAATAGCTCCATAGCTTTATACCCTTATAACCCTACAGCCACATAGCCCTATAGCCCTCTAGCCCTCTAGCTCTCTAGCCCTCTAGCCCTACAGCCCTATAGCCTTAGCCCTGTAGCCCTTTAGCCCCATAGCCCTATATAATTAAACATATTATGATTGGGTTTCTCTCTGGATTCATTCGAAATACTGTTAGGTGTTATTCGTCTTCTTATTATTCTTAGTATTAGTATTATCCTCCTTCACATGTTTCTTCTTCTTCTTCTTACAGTACTAGTCTGTTCTTCTGCGTCCCATGGGCCTGCACGTCAGCTCCGCAAGCTATGGGTCGATGCTCGCACGGCAATGCTCCAGCGTCAGTCCGACGCAAGTCCGACGTAGTCCGACGCGAGCCAGACGTAAATCCGACGTGCATCCAACGCAAATCCGGTCTCGGGTTCCCTCGCGAGGCCTCCAGGAACGTCTTCTTAACTTTCGGAGGCTGACAGAACCCCCACCCTGACACGTCGATCAGTGAATTGCCCGATTTCGGTTCTCGAGTGGGCGCCGCGGCCGTCATTTTCCAGCCTTGCGCCCGCCAGGTTTGGGCCCGAGGTCGTGTTCACTAAGCCACGTTTTACAAGAGGGCTTTCTGTCCATCCCCGAAAGGAGAACGCATAGTTCAAAAAAAGCAAACTGATATAAACATAGACTTGTAGCGTTCCGCGCGGATTTCTTGAATCTGCGCTGGGCCCCCATTTGCGCGCGGAGCGCGTCAGGGGCGGCGCCGGAGGCGCCGCGGAGGCGCCGCCGGGGGGGAGCAGGCCCAGCGCGGATCCAAGAAATCAGCGCGGAGCGCGCCAACAGTTTATGTTTATGGGTTGTTGTGTTTCGTATTATTTGTCTTATTATTCTTATTATCCTGCTTATTATTTTTCTTCTGCCTTTCTTTCTCTTGTAGTACCAGTGTGTCCTTCTGCGTCCCATGGGCATGCACGTCAGCTCCGCAAGCTATGGGTCGATGCTCGCGCGGCGATGCTCCTGCGTCAGCCCGACGCACATCCGACGCAGTTCCAACGCAGTCCGACGCGAGCCAGACGTAAATCCGACGTGGATCCGACGCAAATCGGTCTCGGGTTGCCGCGCGAGGCCTCCAGGAATGTCGTCACAGGGCTGGACCTAAACGCTGTTTTGCTGGACTTCGGCTGTGTTTTGTCTTTCGTTTTGGCAGGGAGGCACAGGGCAGCAGGCAGAGCAAAACGAACAACGAGACGAAAACAACACGAAAAACAACGTTTAGGTCCAGCCCCGTGTCTTCATAACCTCTGCGTCCCATGGGCCTGCACTGAGCGTCGCCCGGCGCGTCGCTCGTGTTCGGCCCCCTTGTGGCCCTTCGGAGGCTGATAGACCTCCCACCCTGACGCGTCGATGAAGGAATTTACCGTTTTTGGTTCGCGAGAGGGCGTCGCAGCCGTCATTTTTGCGGGTCCAGGTTCGTCGGTTTCGGTTCTACAAGCTTCGTCAAAAATATCCAGAAATGGAAATTGAAATCCTGGAGCAGGATGTTTTCGGGCACTTGTCAGAAAGCGCGTTCTTCAATGCTGAGAGGGTGGGGTTGGTTTTTGGACAACACCGCTTCCGAGTCACAGGCATCCGTCAGCATTGGAGTAGCGCTGACCCCACAATCACCGAATTCAGAAGTCTTCTGTTTATTTTTGACGAGGCTTGTAGGCCGTTTTCACTAAAGGGTGGTTTACTGAAGGGAGCTTTGTCGACCGCCGAGCCCTCGGCTGTGCGTCGGCGCTGACGTGGGGCCCCGCCCCTCACAGGCGCGGCCGCGGGTGCCTCCTTCCTCGCCGAGAGCGGTGCGCGCGGGAGCGGCCTTCGCGAGGGCGCCGGCGTCGGCGCGGGCACGGCCTTCCTCGGTGCAGGCCCCGACTCGGGCAACGGCTCTCCTCCTCCTCCCCCTCCCCCCCCTCCTCCCCCTCCTCCTCCCTCCTCCTCCTCCTCCTCCGCGCCGCCTCCTCCTCCTCCTCCTCACTCCCCCCTTCCCCCCCCCTCCTCCTCCTCCTCCTCCTCCTCCTCCTCCTCCTCCTGCTCCTCCCCCTCCTCCCCCTCCTCCTCCTCATCCTCCTCTGTCTCTGCCTTCTCCCTCCTTCAAGCTATTGGCGCTGCGCGCGGATTTCTTGGATCCGCACGTTGGCACCCCGGGGCGGTGCCTCCGGCGCCGCCCCTGGCGCGCGGAGCGCGCCAGGGGGGGGGTCTGGCGCGGATCCGAGAAATCCGCGCGGAGCGCCAAAAGTTTATGTTTATGTCGTTTTTTCTTCCTCTAGAGGCGGGCTCAAGTTTTTTGCGTTCGATTCTGGACCCGTTGTGGAACGCAGCCAGCCAGCGTTCGCAGCGAAGACCGCTGGAGACCGCCGAAGACCGCTGGAGGGGCAGTAAGAGAGGTCCGCGGTCGAACACGTGACAGGTGCCAGGACTCCCAGATGGGGTCCGAGTAGATGGTGTCGCAGGATCACGCCGCATCGCCGATGTATCGGCGATGCGACGCGATGGCGAGCCCGACCTACTCCACGCCGGCGTCGCCAGTGCATCGCCGATGTCGGCGATGCATCGCCGATGGCTCCGATGCATCACCGATTCATCGGCGATGCGGCACGATCCGCCGACCCTGTCTAGTTACCTGGACCCCATTTGGGAGGCATCTACAAGTGGTGCAGGTCACCCAAGCATGGCCGGCCCAGATGGTCCGAGGCTAAGACGTATATATATATACATATATACATATACATACACATACGTTTATATATATATATAGACATATGTATATATACAGGCATATAGATGTCCACCGCCACTGGGGAGCCGGTATTATTGGGTTTCGGTATATGCGGTGGATATGGATGCGGTCGGGACGACTCTCAGGTCCAACCCAGCCTCTGTCCGCAACGTCTTGCGTTCAGCCCAAAGATGGGCGGTGGTATCGGTAGTCAGTCTGGGTTGGGCCTTCCGACCAGCTGCGGAAAGTCAGGTTCCCTCTGTTTCTCTCCCTTCTCTCTCTCTCTCTATATATATATGTGTACGTCTGCATATATCTCGCTCTCTCTCTCTCTCTCTCTCTCTCTCTTTCACACCCTTCTCGTTCTCTCAGTTAGAAGAGGAGGCGGAGGAGGAAGAGGAGCTCATCGAATGCTCTTCGGCCCATCCCGCCCCCGTGCCTGGGTTGTGGGGCAGAGTCCTCAGGGATGCTTCTCAGGGTTCTCTGGGCCTCTTGGGGGCCTCCTGGGGCCTCATGGGGGCCTCTCGGGGCCGAGGTCTCGAAGTGTCCGTTCGGGTCCCCCGTCTGGGTCCCCTCTTGGTGCCGTTTTGGGAGCCTCTTGGGCCGTCTTGCCTCTTGGGCCGTCTTGGGGCCCTCTTGGGCCGTTTGGGGGCCCTCTTGGGGGCCACTTGGGTCGTCTTTGTGCGATTTTCGGTGGCCTCTTGGGCCGTCCTGGAGCGTCGGGAAGCCGAAAAGGTGAGAAGGCATCGTGTGAAAACAGAGGGACAAGCCACAAGTTCTGCTTGCTGGGGCCCTCTTGGGAGGCCCCCTGGAACGTCCGGGGGGCATCTTGGGCCATCTTGGGCGTCTTGGACCGATTGTTCCTCGATTCGGAGCCCTCTTTGACCGTCTTGGGGCCCTCTTGGGGCCCGTCCTGGGGCCCGCGCGGGCCCAGACAGGATATGCGTCAAGCCGCGACGGGAGCCGCCGGGGGGCACGGCGGGAGCCGCTGGGGGGGCACGCGGGGGAGCCTGAGAAGCCTTGGGAGCTGGGGGTGCAGCCCCCTGGAGGAGTCGAGGAGGAGGGGGAGGGGGAGGAGGTGGAGGAGGAGGAGGAGGAGGAGGAGGAGGAGGAGGAGGTCAGGCTGAGCAGGGGGCCCAGGGACGCCCCACTTCGTGCCGCAGGGACGCGGCGGCGGGTCTTCATCCATCCTTGAGCTCCCAGGTCGGCACTCCATCGCCTCGCTGCCTGGAGTGCGCCCGTTCCCGCCCCGAGGCCTTCCCGGGAGGCAGCAGTGAGGACCCGCCGCACTCCGCGCAGGTGCCAGGGCGGAGCAGGGCGGAGGTGGAGGCGCGCGCTGGCCGTGAGGGAACAGCAGGCTCGCAGCTGGCGCGCCACGAGCCACGTGCACAGTACGTACTGATGGGCCGATGTCCCACCAGCGCGACCATAGGCAGGAGAGGGAGGAGGAGGAGGAGGAAGGAAGGAGGAGAAGGAGGGGGAGGGAGGAGGGGAGGAGGAGGAGGAGGAGGAGGAGGAGGAGGAGGAGGGAGGAGGAGGAGGAGGAGGAGGAGGAGGAGGAGGAGGAGGGGGGGGAAGGAGGAGGGCCTCGCCATCCTCCCTTCTCCCCCGTCCTACCTGTGGTAGTGGTGGTGGAAAATTTGTCCATCACGTACCAGTCGGCCCTTCTGATTCCGAGAGCTAGCCAGCGGCGTGTGCAGTAGCCGCCCGGCGGGCTCGCAGACTTAGTCGGCTGCACATAAAACCAGTGGGCAGGCCGCCGCCCGTGTGCACAAACGGACCGCTGCTGCTGCTGCTGCTGCCGCCGCCTCCCTCGGTGCCACTGCAGCGGGGACCCGTGCCAAGAAACGCCCTGCTTTCCTCCAGGGCGCTCTTGGCTTTCGATGTTTGCAGCGGGCTCCTTGTGTTTCGATGTTCTCGCCCTGGACAGCGTGACGTGTCCCCGCACCAGACACCCATGGACCTCCTGGGGTCTCAGGGCTGGGCTTCTGCTGGAAGGTCTCATCTGGACTGGCCTCCACTGTGCTCTCGTCGCCGTCTCCACCGCCACTTACCGCTCCCCCCCCTCTCCCCCCCGCAGCGGGAGCGCGAAGGTGCCCAGCCCCCGGGAGGGCCCGCACCTTGTGGCGCCGCGGGGCCACGCCGTGCTCGGAGCTCCGGCGCCGAGTGCGGAGTGGTGGCGCTCCGCCTCGGCTGCGCGTTCCGGGTACGTTCTCCTGGGATTCGAGCAGTGGTCCAGAGCGGCCGTTCTCCTCTCATCCTTTCTCCTCCCTGCTCCTCCTGCTCCTCCTCATCCTCCATTCTCCTCTTCCTCCTCCTCCATTCTCCTCCTCCTCCTCCTCTTCCTCCTCATTGTTACGTTGGACTAACCTTAGCCAAAGGCTGTGGCGTTCGTACTCTGCCTCCTCCTCCTCCTCCTCCTCCTTCTCCCCCCCGCCCTCCTCCTCCTCCTCCTCCTCCTCCTCCTCCTCCTCTTCCTCCTCCTCCATTCTTCTCCACAGTTACACAATATGAATACTACTCTCCTCTCTCCCCTGGCGACGTCAGGGAAATATCCGGGCCCCCTCCGCGTACTGTTTTTTACACCGGATGTTCGGGAGACATGTTTTCGTTTGGGTTTTTTTCCAAAATGTTGTTCTCGCTGGAGCGCTGGCTTCATTCGGGCTGCCGCTCGTTCCGAATCGTGCTCCCGCTGCAGCGCTGGCCTCATTTCCGCGCTTCCGCTCGTTACGAATCGTGCTCCCGCTGCAGCGCTGGCGTCAGTATTTCCAGCGCCAAGCTACGGCATGGTTTTCGGCTCCTTCCAAACAGGCCCCAACATCAAGCAAATAGCCCCCCGAAAAAGCCATCGGAGGTGATTTTACATTCGGTATCGACTCGTTGATTTTTGGGGCCGCAGAAGCCCCCCCAGGCTATGCCTCCGCCGAATCGTGCTCCCGCCGCAGCGTTGGCCTAATTCCGCGCTTCCACTCGTTAAAATGGGTGTTCCCGCTGCAGCGCTGGCGTCATTATTTCCAGCGCCAAACCACGGCATGGTTTTCGGCTCCTTCCAAACAGCCCCAACATCAAGAAATGGTTCCCCGCAACAAAAAACATCGGACATTGTTAAACATTATGTGCCGATTCGTGAATGCTTTGGGCCGCAGAAGCCCCCTCCCTCACTTGGGGGCGTCGCTACGCCATGCTATGTTATGCTACGCGTTGATCTTCAACACCATGGTATGCCATGTAATGCTATGTCATGGTGCGACATCCGACTGTGCGAACAGAGAGGAGATCTACGCCATGGTAAGGGATGAGAGGGAGGAGTAGGACGTCAGATGTGACGCGAGCGCGCCCAGCTTGTCCTCCCCCCTCCTCCTCCTCCTCGTCATCCTCCCCCTCCTCTTCCTCCTCCTCCTCCTCCTCCTCCTCCTCCTCCTCCTCCTGTTCCTCCTCCTCCTCCTCCTCCTGTTCCTCCTCCTCCATTCTCCTCCATCCTCCTCCTCCTCCTCGTCCTCCTCCTCCTCCTCCTCCTCCTCCTCCTCCTCC